TTTATTTCTATTGAATTTTTCCTTTGAGGATCTCAAAGCACTTCACAAACATTAACTAAGACTCACAATGCTGTGATGGGGAAAGCGAGACAGAGGTTTAGGCCCAGATCCTCAAAGGTAATGGCAGAGACAGGAAACCTACAGTCTATTGCTAACTCTATAATAATGGTTACTGGATTTGGCTAGACATTCAGTACCAGTTTTTAAAACATTTGATAGCACTGTATGCTGAGCACCTATTAATAAATGGGCCCTAGGTGCATGCTCTCTGAATCTTGAATTTCCTTTTTTTCTTATATTTTGCAATACCGTAAACTCTCTCTACCCAGTGGGAAATTTCTCTCTCCTAACCTCCTTGTTGGTTCTACAGTCCCATCTCCATTACCTCAACCTTCAAAGGCTCTGTTAGAATTAGTAGTAATATAGGGTACTTCCAGATACTAACTATAAATTCCTTTATTAAATCCAAAGGCCAAATGGCCTTTCTACAATTGCTCTGAACATGTCTAAAAAGCCTAAATAATAAGCAATCAATACATCCAAAGAGTAACAGACATTCATAAGCATTTAAGATACGAATGGACTAAACCTAGCAGTGCTTAGTCTCATGTGTTGGTTCCATCTTGATCAGGCAGATATTAGCAATGAACCCTTTAAGAGTTCCCCTTTTATGCCCATTAACAAACAAGAGATGCCATTGCCAATTGCTACCTTTAGCTAAAAACCAGAATTTGGTTGGTTTGGAGTCATTGCTGGTTCAATGCCCACAATCCTTTATTAAGTAGCCCTGATAACTGGGATTTCTTCTTTCTTCTGTTTTATCAGTTACCTTTCAGGCCCAGTTTTTCAAATAAGCCATATTCTTTCAAGGTCTTCCCACAACTGTTAACGGACCTGAAGTTTGCAAGACCTACACAAACGTGTATTATTTTAAAACTAATTTAACCTTTTATTTTATTAAACTACAAAACACATTTTTCTTCATTCCTGCAAGGTCCCAGGCATATTCTGTCTCCGTATAAGTGTCTCTTCCCTGGCCCTAGGCCATCTTATTATTTCATTTGTCTCTCTCTCAACCTCCTTCCATGATCCTTTATGCTCTTACCAATCAAGACTTTGCTGCTTTTTTGGTACATGCTAAGTTGTCTACTTAAGGATCTCATTACATAGTATCTGAGTACCTCATAATTAGAACTAGCTGGAAACTGAATTCCCCTCATGAAAAACTTAAAAAAAAACTTTGGTGGAGGGAAAATCATTCTGAATAGGAATAAAAAGGCTGAAAACTCATAATTTTCATGGGATGAAAAGTCTAAAAATCTGTTCGAGCTACTGAAACAACAAATGTTTGGCTTGTTCCTAGCTCTATTTCTAACCTTTAATGTATTTACCCTCTCAACACCCTTGTGAGGTAGGCAAATGCTATTATTCCCATTTTACAGATAGGGAATTGAGGCATAGAGAGGCTGTGACTTTCCCACTGTCACACAGGATATCTGTGGTAAAGCAGGGCTTCCTTTGTCCCAGGTAGCATTTTAAGTACTTGGACCATCCTTCCTGTCTTCATTCTGACACCGAATGAGAGTAGATGCTGCAAGATGAACTTAGCAAACGTATAATTTTTTCAGTAATGATGAAAAAACTAAAGTAGTGGTGCCCACCTTGGTGAATTTGGAAAGGCTGAGATTTGTGAATAAACTTCAAATCCATGAGGTCTGAATGAGTTTGAAATTGTTTAATGCAGGGAAGAAGGGGTGTCTCAGGGGTGTGTATGTGGTGTGTTTTTTTTTTTTCCTTTTTTTTTTTAAAATTTTTTTTGGGGTAGGTTTTTTTTTTTTTTTTTTTAATATTTTATTTATTTTTCCTTTTTGGTTGGGTGGGGTTTAGGGGCAGAAAGGATGTCAGTGCTATATCACTCCTGGTGGACAGGGGATTCCAAAAGTTTTGCAGCATTTTCTAAACACAGTAAGACTAAATTTGCCTGGTCTCCTCTGGATGTTTGTTGCGTAGCTGGTCAGATCCCTTAGGCTGAGAATGCTTTATCTCTTTTGTGCCATCTCATTTGCTGTCACATGAAGCATATACCTTCCCATTCATGATTGCATAACATCCCTGTGGCAACAAAAACAATTGCTTATGTGAAAATAATACTAGCAAAATATGATTTTTTTTTAAATCTTTTAATATGACTTTAAGCATTTGGAAGTAAAGGGAGACTGCACCATACCACCATTGGCTCATGGCAAGTCTGAGAAACACTGATTAATGAAAATCCTCTACCAGCCCTAATGCAGAATTTTAATTTAAAAAAAAAAATCCTATTTGCAATAAGTATACACGGATTATCATACAGTCTTTTAGAAGGTACAAAGAAATATCTGCTTTTAACATACAGTACTCAACAGTGTATATTTTCAACAATAAGATTGCTAGAGAAAGAAAAGATGCATACCTCCAGAATGCTAACATTTTATTGTTTATACAAGTTATAAAAATAGTTTATTTTAGCAAAATAGCACATTTTGCAAACAAATTTAGATTTTATACAGGAGCTAGATTTTTTTTTTCAAGTAGACGTTAGAAAGGAAACACTTCTGCTTGAAGAACAATTATTTTAAAATATAGTAACAAACACCTTAAAGAACATTCAGACATACATTCCGATTAGTTTATAAATAATCAAATAGTATGTTCAAATACTTGTTTAATAAACCTAGTCAAATCATATTATGATTTGTCCTTTTTGTGAGCATTTTTTGTATGTTTGCAACAGATTCAGTGGCTATGATGATGTGGAGTATGGGGATTTAATTTTTAAAATGATCATTTAATAAAATCTGATTGAGACCAGCTTCTGTGTCTTACCAACGAGCCTCTGGATAAAACAGATATAACTAAACTTGAAGCCAAGTCTACATAGGGAAAAGAGTTATAGGGGTTTAAATCAGGTACACTTATAATAATTATGAACAATATTCTGAAATATATACGTAGAAAATCAATATTTTCAATGGGAGTGGAGGGTGTTCAGCACCTCTTGGAAAAAAATCATTTTATTTAGGTGCCTAAATATGAGTTTAAGTATTCAGTTTTAGACATCCAAGTAAGTGCATGCTACAAACAATGTGTAACTGACTTAAACAGAACTGATAAGGCACACAGAAGTTCATATGGAGTAAATACAGTAAAACACATGATGGTGAGCATCCTAATAAATGTAGTTTTTCATTCCTCAGTTGTGACTCCTGAGTGTTAAATTCATCCACGTCTCTTGAAAACGAAGTGTCATTACCGTGTCCACCAGCCAGATCTTTCACGCTGATAGGAGCACCCATTTATCAATAACGACTCAGTTCTGCATGCATGTGAGTGGAGACACTGGGGAAGATCCTCAGTTAACAAATTGTCAAAGAACTTTAATGGTGCTATGACAGTTTACCAGCTGAGCATCTGCCCCACTGAGTTCAATGGTACTCACATACATAAAGTTATTCACACCTGTCTGCAGAATTGGGGCCTGTGTCTATGAAATCTTACCAGCATAAGCTCTAGAGGGCAGGTAATGTTTATATGCATGTAACACAGAGCCTAATGCACTGCGGGTCAGATTGGAACCTATGTGTTACAACAATGCAAATAATATTTAATAATTGAAACACTGGGCCCAGTCCCCTTGAAGTGAACAGTTTTTTAATGAGTAAGGACTGCAGCATTTAATGCCACATTAAGTCATATTCAGTGTGCATTATCTCCCTCTTCCCCCCCCCCCCTTTTTTTTCCCCTTTTTTTTTTTTTTTAGCAGAGTGCTCCCATTTTGTCATTGACTTAAATGGAAGCAGGAGCAAAACCATCCTGTATAAGTTTGACACATAGCACATAAATACCATGGATGTGGGATCCCATTTAAAAAAAATACTGTAGCACTGTGCAAATCACTTGTTCGTGAGTTTCTTCAAGTAATAAGCTTTGTTAACACTACATTAAAAATAGTGGACCACACCTTTCAATGTTGATTGCCTTTAAAAACTTAAAAATGCAATCATACTAAATGTAAATATGCTACATTTGCCAAGAGATTCTATTAAAAATGAACATTAGTTAAGATGTTTATGAAAGTCCAAAATTACTATTTTGTTCAACTTCTTTATGAATCTCCACAATTAGAGAATATTTGTAATATAAAACAAACCTAAAGTATTTGAAATTGCAGTTTTTTAAACATTTTATCACTTACATTATCCTAATCGAAGATACAACTGTTATATAAGTGAATCTGTTTATTCCTGTTAAAGAAGCTAACATTTGATATAGTTTAATCATGTTTCAAAATAATCTACAGTGCAATTTAAAATATCTGCTTTCAAAACTATAAAAACTTACTTACACATCCAGTTTAAGCCATTACAAAACCATTTTAAAAACAAAGCAAAATGTTGGAGGGCATATTTGCAGAAATCTGCACTCAAAAATAAAAAATGTAGTCTAAAAATGTGCATAAATCCCATTTTACAGAAAACATTGATCAACACCAAAACAAAAAAGTTAATCTGGCAGCGGTTTGAATCACTACACTGAGAGTGCTAAGGATGCAGAAAAGATAACAGCATACTAAAAGCAGGAAATTCAGACCTCACTCCGGAAAGCACTGAAGCATGTGTGCAACTTGAAGAACATGAATAGTCCCATTGGAATCAGTATTTTGTTGGAGGAGAAATTTCCTACAGCTTCTGTAAGTAACAGAATGTGTCTTAAAGTGGCACTGCAAAATGGCTTGGGGGGAGCATCAGGAATTCAAAGTTCCAAGACCAAATTAATGAGGTCTCCTATACATTTTTTTTGGTGTGTCTACTGGAAAAATCTGCAGAATTTGCTCTGTATGTGTTGGGTGGGGAGTGAGGTGAAGGAAAGTCAGCTACACAATAAACACCTCAACTGCTACAGCCTACCTTTCCTTATCCCACCACATTGGCTTTGATATGACAGCAGAGTTCTACACCACGAGAAGTGGTGACCTGGTAGTGGTGGGAAGACAATTACTCTGTGCAGCATAAGCCTCTTCAGGATGGCATACATTACTGCTATCCCAAAAAGCAGCAACTCCCTCTATTGCTTTTAGGGGAGGTATATAACACACAGAGCTGATATTTTTAAGGTACATACAATGTTTAGGCGGGCAGGAGAAACTTATTTAGGGACTGTTAACCCTGACTCCTTGGGGTCATTCTGTGCTTCACTAGCTATGTCCTTTTTCTTTTCTTTTTTTAAGCTTAAGTCCCACAGAGACCGGGGGCTAAAACTTGTATCCAAATTCAAAAAGTAGGTAAAACTTACCATTTTCTAAACCATCCACTGTAAATTGACCTGGATATGGAGATTTAATATTTTAGCTGCTTTTTCAGTTCTCATTGTGCCCAAATTGGGAACCATGATAGAGCTGTGCTTTTTAAACTCCATTTCAAATAAAGTTTACAAGTTTACAAACTAACAGTGATAAATGACATCAGTGATTGTAAAGGCACAACCTTTGGGAATAACCTAGCTGATAAATTTAGAGAGCCCGGGGGCAACCCTCCCTATTCTGTGCTTAACAAGAACAAATTTAGAAAGATCCCACACTATTTAGAGGACTGGCACAGCACACACTGTGTATTATGGAAAAAAATCCCTTGCACAGCACTTCTCAGCTATCCTGGGTACTGACCGAGATAGTGACCTCCTCCCATCTTGGCTGTCTCTTTAAGAGACATTCTGTTGTACTGCAGCTCACCCTACACCTAGGCACATGTCACTTTTAATTGTGAGTATCCTGGCTTTTGGGTGAGCACCTTAAAATCTCAGTGTAATTTCAAAGACCCTCAACGTGTCAGCTGCCACTTTCTCTCACACAAATGAGTGTACAACTGTACAGCCCAATATTGGTTAAAGGCACAGAGGATGGCATGTTATGACAGCTTCCATTGACAGGAGACGCTGTGTGGTTTCAAAGCTCAAGTTTCATCATGTGACATAAATTGAGGAGCCATCAAGATCAGGGCTTGGCTGCTTAGGTTAACATTTCGTGCATTAAAATAGCAGCCACACCAGGTGCAACTCTCCCCACAGTGTTCAGTTTCATTGGCAAAACACACTGAATCAACCTGTCACAATGTAAAACAAAGTGCAGAGCAGTGGGTTTTTTATAGTTTAAGAAGTAGTTTTTACTGTTGCATAATTTCAGTGTAAACATTGTGAATAAAGAGAAGTTATCTAAAACAGTTCCACAGTCAGTGCAAGATTTGTGCAAGCTTCTCATCTGATTCAACGTCCACTTAAACTTTAAATAGACAAGTGTTTCTCCCCTTCTCTGTTCTGTAAGAGGGGACAAAATATATATTAGAAACATCAACACAGAAAAAGGAAAATCACTTTCTCCCTTAACTTGGCATCTATTAGTTTTATACCTAATTTAACACACACACACACTCAAACTAAACATTTAATTAACCCCTTACCTTCCTAGCAATTATGTTGTAAGCCATTAAACAGTGAACATCATATTTTAACTCTATTTAAATTTTGTTACCAACTATGAAATATACCAGAAATACAACAGTGCAGTTAAATGAAAATAGCCAGGGCAGAACAGTATTTCTGAAACTGCTACCGTACTTAGGGAGTGAAGTGAAGACACACAAGTCTCTAAATGGTAGAGCACGGTAAATAGTTTGACATAGCTGATTTTCTTGCCTCTTTTTTTTCCCCTTTGATTTAGATACTTTGTGGAGCTTGGCATTTACAGGTCATAGAGCACAATTTTTCCTTACAATAGATTTCTACTCATATTAAACAATGCTTACAAGAAGTGAGTTTATAATAAATTAACACAAGCATCAAAGCTGTACCCAAAGGGATACAGAATGTTCTGCCTGTGAACACGTGTGAGACTGTCAGCTTTTCACTGACGGGACAGTCTTTGCAGGGGGTTTGTTTACAGTACTGGACAGGCTGTAGATGCTAAGCAAATAATGTCAGCTCTCCATGTCTACTCTGCTATCCCAGGGATGGCAACAGGAGGATGGGCTCTGGGCACGCATGGGCAGCAGAATTGTGGTTGCTGTGGCTGGGAGATTAGTTTTAAAGGTGTGCGGGGTGGGTGAGAAGGGGACTCTCCTTGCCCCCAAAACAGGCCTCACTGGGGCAGTGCCAGGATGCAAACCAACTCCAGCCCCTTGGAGGCAGGGGGGAGCCTCCACTCTACCATCCGCCCATGTGACTGGGGGGGCAGCACTCAGCCCCTGCTGCGCGCCAGCCTTACCAGCTTCCTCTGGTTACTGAGGCAGAAGGTGCAGATGGGCCGGGGCGCCGCCGCGGTGCCGCCGCCCTGCAGGCGGGGCTGGTACTGCAGGCAAGGCTGCTCCGCCCCCTCGCCCTGCTGCAGGAGCAGCACGTTGGCCAGGTGCGCGATGTAGCTGGCGGCCAGGCGCAGCGTCTCGATCTTGGAGAGCTTGCGGTCGGCGGGCTCGGTGGGGATGAGCGTGCGGAGCGCGCTGAAGGCGGAGTTGACGCTGTGGGTCCGGTCCCTCTCCCGGGCGTTGGCCGCCTGCCGCTGCTTGCTCAGCCCGCTCAGCCGGGGGCTCTTCCGCTTGCGCTTGCCCGGGCCCCCGGCGGGGGGCAGGGACTTGTCCGAGCTGCTCTCGCTGCTGCTGCCGCCGCCGCTCTCCGGGTCGGATGCGGCACCGCCGCCGGCCTTCATGGCGCTCCCGCCGGCCCCCCAGCCCCATGACTTTTATGCGCGGCAGCTGCCGGCTGGCCGCCGCGGCCCCGGGTCCCCTCCAGCGGCGGGGCCGGGCTTTGAATGGCTGCTGCTTTTAGCTCGGGCATGTGGCCGCTCCGTAAATAAGGCGAGGAAGGTGGAGCTGCGGCCTCAGTGCTCCTGCCCGGCAGCCTTGCACCTGTTCCCCCGGCTCCGCGCGGCTCGGGCAGGGCGCCCCCGGGGCATTCCTGGGGGGAGCGCGGCCCCCGGGGCAGGCCGGCCCCCGCCTCGGTCCGCCGGGCGCTGGGGCGCTCTCCCGGGTGCCCTTCACCAGGCTGGCTCTGGGCAGCAAGGAGTGAAACGCCCCCGGGAGGGACAGCCTCGTCTGGAGCCCAGAGGGGGCCGTGAGCGAGGGGCTTCCTGGGCCCTTAGCATGTGCGCTCCTCTGGGGGGTGAACAGCGGGGCCCGGGCACACCTGGGGGAGGGGGATTCACTCGCCTGGGCAAATCTGCATCGCGTTGGCAGGACCTCACACCTGCCCCCTACAGAACCCTCCCCGGCGGGGAGGCTGGGTGGATGAGCGCCTGTCTCCCTCTTCAGGTGCTGCTTCCCCTACAGCCAGTGAAACAGGAAAGTTAGGACCTAAGGGCTCCAGGGCAGTTGCAAATAATAACCCTCTCCAAGGCCTGATGCCAGTAATACGCATAGGTAATATCTGTCCACATCCATCCAATTGAAGGATCAAGACACTATGCAAATATGTTGTTGGTGTTTAGTTTTATTGTGGGATATTAATATGGAGCAATCACTCTGAAAAATAAAGAACATGCTTTGCTCAAGTATATTTTCAAAATAACTGTTGGTTTCAAATGGACTAACAGGCACTCCAGCGCTAGTTCTTTCATCAGCTTTCCGACCAAATACTAGACCAGTGGTTTTCAACCTTTTTTTCATTTGTGGACCCCTAAAAAATATTTCAATGGAGGTGCGGACCCCTTTGGAAATCTTAGACATAGTCTGCGGACCCATGAGAGTTCTGTGGACCGCAGGTTGAAAACCACTGTCCTAGACGTACATATAAATCCAAATCCTGATTCAATTTAAAATGCAGAGCTACAGCAACCAATTTACTTATTAAAGGTCATCATATTCACTAGTTTATTATCCTGGACGAGCCTCTTCTCTCCATAAAAGTTTGACAGCCCCTCTGCACTCAAACTCATGGTACAGGTTTTCCCAACTGAGTCATCTCTACCTGATTAAGCAGTGCTAGATGACTGTTTTATGTAGCCACTGGAGTTTATTTTTGTTGTTGTTGTTTGAATTGGAAAGATGGATTAATATTCAGAGTTGGATTAGCAGTCACATCCTTTTAATCATAGGTGCATACACTTAGAATGGACAGCTGCTTTGCCACTCTTGGCTGGGAGTCATGTCCTCCACAAATACAGTTAATGCATATATGTGGTCTCTTGACTGTCAGCACTCAAGTCCATCTGTTAGAATGGCACGGTGCCTGCTTAAAAGTTGGTTGTACCTTCCCTTTGGGCATAGGTGCTAAGCAACAAATGTGTTCATGTGAGCAGTTTACAGAATGCTTAAAATAGTATATTTTCTGCAGAAAGTTCCTTTTGTGTAAAAATGCTGCAGTGGTGCCTCTGTTTGTCAGTGGGTCTCATCTGTTGCATGTGTAACTCACACACATCCTGGGTGTGGTGCTCTGTCCCATCTAGTGGCACCGAGACCACTTAGAGAGAGGGATATTAATGTGTCTGCTCTACAGCCACTTATAACGCCGAAAGACCCTGGTTGTCGGCTGGTGGGATCGAGCCTGGGACCTCTAAAGTTAAATACATGAGCCAAAAGCCATATGACCCTTAGCTAAGGCAGTAGAGCAGACTCATTAATCCAGTGGTTCTCAAACTTTTGTACTGGTTACCCGTTTCACATAGCAAGCCTCTGAGTGCACCCCCCCCATATAAATAAAAAACACTTTTAAAAATATATTTAACAATATTATAAATGCTGGATGCAAAGCGGGGTTTGGGGGTGAAGGCTGACAGATCATGACCCCCCAGGTAATAACCTCACGATCCCCTGAGGGATCCTGACCCCCAGTTTGAGAACCCCCGCATTAACTCAGAAGGTGTGTGGGTTACATACTTCCCCTAGCTGAGGAAGCATCCCGAGCTTCAGAGACTTGAAATCCTGGACGAGCCCCCACTTGTAACACTGACAGACCCTGATTTTTTCAGTGAGTGGGCTCAAATCTGGGACCTCTGGAGCTTAGTGCATGAGCCTCTACTGGAAATCATGAGCCTCATCTAGAAATCAGTTTATATTATGAATAGTTACATTTATAGTGTAAATTTACTCTGCATATGTATAAAAACAGATCTTTGTAATTCCTATACTAACCCTTTTCCCACAAGAACAGTAGAAAGATCTTATCAAGTCTAGCAAAATGAAAGCAAATTGGAAACTGCAGGCTAGATAATTCTGGAAGTAAGATGAACCAAAATGACATTTTTGAAACACCGTGGCCTAGATTCTTAGCTGTACTAGAGGTAAAGAAAGGGGTTTAGGACAAGGGAGGTTTAAGCCACCGTTACACTCACTTGACTGAGGGCTGAACAGTCTCTAAACATAATTTAGAGCAGCTTGGAGGAGATGCTGGTTTTACACCACCTGGGCATTCCTCTAATCCTGGGGAATTTACAGCTACTCACTGTACAACAAATATCATGTATTTGCTATGTACACAAATATTAATAGAGGCACCATAAACCTCTTTCTGTTATGAAGATACATTACCAGTACTTCTAAAAAAAGTTACAAATGGAATGTTACCTTCAAGCTCAATGCTCTACCAGTGATAGAGAAGCAGTTCCTAGCTCCAAGCAGCTTGCATTCTGATGTACTTGTCCTATAATTAAAGTGGGATTTCTTCTCTGGAAGAAATTGTTTTTAGGAAATTTTTGATGTCACATGTCATTGTAAGAAATAGATTCAATGAGATTAAATGTGTTCATTTATTTTAATAGCAGTTGTGCCTAGAAGGAGGTGCATGGTAGAATCTGGCATCACTGTGCTTGGTGCTGTACAAATGTATGGGAAATAATCATGCCCCAAAGAGTTTACCGTTTTAGGCCCTGATCCTGGAAACACTCATCATGTGGGTAGTCCCTGCCTGAAAGTGAATAGTAATGAAGTACTACACATGTATTCAGGGTCAGAGACTGAGAAGCTAAGTAACTATTGTCTTTTAAAAAAAGAGAGACTTCTTAAACATTTTTCTATGTTAAATGGAACAGAGAAGAGGAGCTTTTTGTTTTCTTATTGGATAATGTGTGAGGCTCCTCAAACTTCAAAATTAAAATTGTAGGCCATATACAGTATTCCCTTAATCACATGGTGCATATTGGCTATATAAGTACCTATTTAGATAGATAAGCACATGCAGCTGTCACTGACAGTTTATGCTCTTTGTAGTTTAACATTGTATAGAAGCATTTGAAATCATGTGAGTTATAGCTTAATGTGGAGTGTGTGAGTGTAAGTATATTAGCATCATATTTTCATTAGAATTCAAAACTCCTACTTCTGTCCACAAGAAAATTTAAAAGTGAGCTGTAGAGAAGCACCTACAATTGAATCTCAATATACATTTAAAATAATGCTTTTGGTTTTGTTGGAAAGTAAAGTTCAAATCTATATACATTCAAATTCCTCAATTTGATCCTAATGACAAAACTCCAGTTGACTTCAATGGAGTCAGAATGTCACTCTTGACATACTCTGGCGGCTGAGTAGTAGGGAATTGCTTGTATATCAGACTCAGATGTTTGCTTTCGAGGGTTCTACTGTCTTTATCACTTCATGTGTGTCCTTTTTTGATAGACATATTTATTGGAACTAACCTTCTCTTCCCCCTCCTCCCAAAGAAAACCCAATAAAAACTGTTGAGATATTTCCAGAATTAGAATGCATGTAGAAATAAACTGGCAAAATAAGGAAGGCAGGAGAGCAGCAATACTTGGAAAGAATAATACTGTGTCTGCTGAGTGAAATAAAACAACTTTCAGTGGCACTACAGAAATAGCTAATACAGAGGTTAAGGGCAAAAAGGTGGTCAACAATTCTTGTTTCTACCTCCAAGACAGTTTGAGAAAGTAGAGTAAGAAATGATTTTACAGATAAGGGAGGCTTGTAAAAAGGCCAAAACATTGGTGACTTTTTAATTACTTGGTTATTGATTGTGCATAAATGTAATCCCAATCTAGGGGGAGCATGTTTGTCAAGGAAGATACAATAGTGCAGGATTGCTTTTTTTCCTTTTTACAATTTGCTGAATTGCTAATACAAGCAGGGCTGCATGAATCTAATATAGAATAGTGGGAAATATTTTATGTGTAGCTGACAGGACACAGACTGAAATTTGCCCTTGTTCTGTAAACACAGGTAAAGAGATATGAGGCCATTGTAGAGGATTGTGTAGCAATATGCAACAAATTGAAAAAATAAGAGTAAATCAAACTAACCACTAGACAGTACCATTCTGCAAACTAGTACATTAATTAAAGCCTTTATAGTTTTCAAACACAATATTATAGTAATATAAGGTATTCGTAGGAAAGAACTTTTGAAAAGGAGCATTGGGAAAACTATAAATATAAAGAGAGCAAGTTAGTTCAAGGATAATTAAAGAAGAAAATAAATCAATGGCTAAGAAAATTTGTAGTCACAGTCAAGAAGCTTTCAAATATATTTACATTAAATATAAAGTATAGGAGAAAATTGTTTCACTTGCTTGGAAAAAAAGACACTTTAGCGACAATAAAGCCTTTAAACAGACAAACTTAAGTACTTTTAAAAATGGTTCTTAAATGTTTACAGTGAAAGTCTGCTCTTGGTGATATGTACAAGGTTTCCATTGAATGCAGAGAGATTTCCTGTGTGCATTCAAGAGCAGAATTGCCACATAACATTTTAGATCTTTGAAGATAAAACTTCTTTGCCACCTAATTTTCTGATTTTTCTGTTTAGCAAATATTGATCCCCTGCCCGCATATTACTAATGGCTCTTAAATGGCTATCTGCTTAGTTTTTATTGTTTACATCCTTGTT